AATACGGCACTCCATAGATTATCGACCGTTATTCCTTGTTAAACTGAGAGTCATTTTTTCTCGGGGGTGTTCTATGTTCTTGAAATTAAATAAATTCCACCTTTCGTCTTTAACCGGCTTACTAAGCCAGCACAATTGCCATTTTATATGAAGATGCCTGACAGGAGAATAGGATAGCCTTGCTTACATCATAGTTAGACAAGGCGGTTCATCCTTGTCAGAAAAATTTGCACATTTTGAATCTATCTTGTGTTTGTTCTCGCTTTTAAACGCAACTCAGAGAAGTTTGTATGAGACCGAGGTGACGGTTGCTCTTCTTCCTAAGAAATCGACTGTGGAGGGCAAGGAGCCTTAAGAACGCTTGAATATGAGATATATCTGGTTGCGGTGTAGCAAGGATCGCCTGGCCTGTCTTCAATGTCATTTGAACGCCAGAGTCTTTGAGGAGATATTTTACACCATTTACCTGACTTACCCTCAGCTGCAAATTTTCTTGTCTGCGTCGCAATCCTGGCTTGTCTGCTTTTGTTCAAAGTCACTGGATCCTGGGGAGGATAGCGCCAAGGTCCCTGTAATGTTGCCTTTTTGTTCCATGTAAGAAGCAGTTTCTCCTTTACTCTTAGTCTTGGAGAGCCGATACAAAAAATCACGGTGGCATGTTTCATCGGGAAAAGTTCCCGCAACTGCAACGCCACCGCAGTTGTGCGACGTAAGAGAGGTGAGTTGGTCTGCAGAAGGCAGGAAAGGCAATGGCACTACTTTCCTAAGACAGCAGGTACCAGATAATGCATACGTACTGCGTTTTCAATGGCGTATTCGCAGCTACAAGGATGTCATCTCAAGAGACGTTTATACCGGAAACATCAGCCAGAGTGGCTTACATCACGCATTGGACAATTTATGGAGCAGCGTATATTTTAAACGATGGGCAACTTAGATAGTATATCACTTTCATCGTTTCGTATAGTCACACATTGACAGATGTATCCTTGGTGCTCCTCGGCTGATATACCTGTTATAACTTCATTGTGAAGAAAACAGCTCGCCCTCGGATATTTGCCATAATATTATTTGTGATGGGCGGTAGGTACGAGGCTCTCCCTGAAGCTGCATTTACCATAGAGCGACAATCTTAGCAAGGGCGACATTTTTTTCCCTACTTTTTTGGTTTAGCGCAATTTGTGTGCAGAGAAGGTGGGATGATACCTTGAGTTTTCATGCAATCACGTTTCGTCGAAACAGCAGCACGTAGCGTCAGCGGAACAGAGTGTAGATTACATTGGTTGGGATCTCCTACCTCTGTAAAGGCCAATTCAACCGGCTGTCGGTTGTAGCTAGAATGATCGTGGTCCCACTCTTGTTGGTGATTTTCCGGCTCCTCTTTCGTCTCCAGAGCCACTACTGTTAAAATTACTCAAATTTATTTTTATGCCCCGTAGGCGAATTTCTACCACCTGACGCCAATCTCTGCCAAGAAGGTTGAATTAACATCTTCTAGTGGGTTAGTTGGCTATAAATCTTGGTGAAAGTAGCGCAAAAACAAAGGAGGAAGAGAGTAGAAACAGGATAGTGCACTCTATCTTGCCTTTACGTTTTTCCTCCCTTGTCTCTTTGCTAATTTTATGAAAAGGAGGATGAATCCTGCTCCTTTCATAACGAGTAGTAGTACAAAACCTTTGGTCGTTGGAGGGGCTGGGGTTTTTCCATTTTCGCGCGCACCACAGTTTGCAATTTGTTTTTTGTAAGCAGGCTGTGGTACGTAATGCAAGTGCTGCATTGTTCTAGAGTGAACGAGCAGAAACTTGACCGTGTTTTTGCAGTTTTTATTTGAGGCTCGTCTTGGGAGAAAACGAGCAGAATGAAACTTTTCCGGCGCGTCCGCGAGGGCGGACTCAGCTTGTCGCACCTATTTGTGCGTCAAGTAGTAAACCGTTTCTTTTTTTTCTTCTTTTTTTTTTTAGATGCTAGCGATTTTTTTTTGCGCACTGTCTTTCAAGTAAGGCTGGGTCGGGTTTCACGCGAGTTTGTGATTTCTTCGTCCTACTTGCCTGGGGGTATTCATGGGCACTTTAAAAAATGGGGGATGTCATGCCGTTTTTTGTTAACTTGTTTTTTCACGTACATCTGAGGGAAGTGATGCGTAAAAAATTGTAGAAGGATTCTTGCGACATTGTTTTTCCTGTTCCAATTTACAGAGCCTTGTACTCCGCTGGCCCGGGCCAGGACGTTATAAAATGGGTTAAAAGAATGCTAATGCCATTTAAATTAATTTAAAGAAAAACGTTAAAACGTTTCTCTTTAAACTTCACTCCGGTACTCTACCGGTAAAGACGTGGATGGAGGATAAGAGCCTTTTAGTCCCTTGAGGCTCTCACTGTTTTCTTTTTAAGAAGCCGGAAACTATTGGACATGTCTTCCTGAAATGCTAAGATGGCGTCTTCTTGTAGGACGTCCTCCAGCACACATTGAAAAAAAGAGTTATCGCTCGAGCCCCACGGGATCAGCTATCTTTCTGTGGAGAACGATGATGGCGTCCCGTTTGATCTTATAATGCTACTGTGTCTGCACGGCATTTGGAGGTCACGGATGGCCGTGCGCCATGCTGACAGTGACGCACGAGAAGCACAGAAGTATTTCCGTGAGAGCATTATTTACTTTCTTGAAGTCTCAAGGCTTGTGAAAGTGTTGCTGAGTGGCTCCCGCGAATTGAAGTACTCGTAACGTAACAAATTTTAAACCCCAGGACGCTAGTCATAGCAAGCCGGGCCATTTTCTCTTCGTTTATGTTATAGTGTGCCTTAGCGTGTGTTATTTCGCCCGGAAATAAAGAAAAAAACAGTGCGTAGCTCAGAGGAAAGGTGTCCGTTTCACGTGTCGTGGGTCCCAGGTTCAAATCAAAGTAGGCGCTTTTTTTGTTTTTCTTCGTGAAACATTTGGCGATTTATATTTATTTCTTCTTCAGAGTAATCATTGCCGTCCGAAGCTCCCGACAATCTTTTTTTCCCGAGTGGTTGTGCCGGCTGCCGGCAAAATATCCCCACCCTATTTCATAACAATGCACAAGAAGAGGTTCTTGATACGGAACGCCGTTCCGTCGGATAATCTTCCGAAGGTATCACACGACCGGGGCGTGAGGATTCGGAAGCCGCCGAGAGGTACTGCTATCATTTGATCACTATTTTATTCCAGGCTCTCTTTTACACTGGAACATATTAGGTAGCAGTAGAAGTTCAATTTTGTGATGTTTACGTAATTGCGTGAATCTTTTTGCGAGTTTTATCATTTTGATTGAGCAATACAAATGTGTGTATGACTAAGTACTCGTCGTGCAAAACTCGTTGATATTTCATCGTGAACCGTGATTTTTTGAATAACCGATAAAATAAACTGAAAAAGGCAACTTGTAGCGTTTAATGCCAATATGCAGTCTAATTGGCCACATTCTTCATTATAATGTTCACCAGTGTCTTCTGTATTTTGGCATTTCAAGAAAAACGTAATGCAATGACTATTTTGGTGGATGTTTCGGTGAAAATTTTTCCGGGGCGACGCTGCGCTCGATTACATGATTACATTTCAGCACGTCCTCCCCTTCAACGAGGCGCCTTTTGCTCTCGCCGATGTGGCTGATGATCGTTGGAAGGGACAGGAACACTGAAAAGCAATGCGTGTGTTTCGTGAATACGGTTTCTCCAACCTAGGAAGCGCACAAACATCGCCACACAGCGTCAGTCACGCACGACCATGGAGCGCGCAGCCGGAGCGACGCGGCCGATCGCGAGCGCCTACACATGGGTTGGTTTTTGCTTTCAACAAGAATGCGGCGACATTTAAAGCAAGGTGAGACGAGCAGAGACTGTGCTACCCCTAGGCAGATGCTTTTGGAGCAGATAAATATTATCCACATACCTTTCACGAGCCTCAAGTCCTCGTCCTTCGTGACTGAACGAATACTAGCGGCGGGATTGTTATCCCCGCAGAATAGTTCCGACGGCGGCCGCTAGCCAGCGCCACCGTTCGATCTTCTCCCCAATAAAGAAATATTAGATCGCTTATAGAACCACCCTCTTTGTCAATTCTGGTTATCTCTGTCAAAACCTTTTCCGAGCCGGTCCTAAAGGCTGCGCTAATTAGAATATCTGCATGTTGCTCGTGAATATTACCTAGAGCCGTTCTAGTCCTCTCTATGGTAGGCACGTTAACGTCTCCAGCAATAGTTATTCGTACACGATCGTTTGCGTGGTCTATCAACAAGTCATGTATTTTTTTTTTCAGAACACACAATAGAAGCGCCAGGCTTACGGTGCACGCCAGCTACGTATTAAAAACTTGTCGACTCAAATTCTATCTTGCACCACACCGACTCTGTACGTCATCAAGAGAAGTTTCCTCAATGTTCTTTCTATGTGGTATCGCCACACACCCTCCCCTTGATTCTCGATATTTTCATATCACTGAATATGAGGGTGATACAATCTGTGAACTTTAGATATCGGGATGAAGCCAAGTTTCAGTTTTTATAACCACGTGAGGGTCATAGGAATGCAATCCATGTTCAAGTTCATCAGTTATATAAGCAATGCTTCGAGCGTTTGTGTTGACAAGTCTTAGTTTTTCAGGGGCATTTTTTTATAAACCTGTCATGCTACAACAGTGTTATTATCCTGATATATTTTAAAGATTTGAGTGCGTATACATTCGACCCATTATTTTCTGGCTCATCCTAACTACGTAAATCAATGCTATTTTAAGCTTGTTATACACGACTGAAATTTTATCCTTTGTAATGTTTTCCTTGGCACTAGACCACATGTGCTTTCTTACTTGGCGCGTGTTGCACGAGCAGTCTTCTGATATTGAAATTACACTATCCTTCAGTCTGAAGCACGTTCTCCAAAGTATGGTTTTATTGTTGAAATAATAAATCATTAATATAGCAGGGCGATGTCTTCCTTCATTTCGTCGTCTGATTTGATAAATTCGCTCTATTCTGCTTACAGGCAGCACTAATGAATGAAGAAAAAACCTTTGTTACAACCTTTCCCTCTAAATCCTTATTGGTCTCATTCCTTCCTTCGTTCACGCCAACACTGTGAGATTGTTATGCCTGCCTTTATCTTCGAAGCTCTCAATTCGGTACTCCTACTTTTCCACACGACTTTAGAATTCGGTGACTTTTAGGACACGGGCGTAAACTGTTTCGGTCACGGCATTTGTCTCAGCTTTGCCGTCCTCAATGGTCGTTAGTATGATACGCAGTATGCCTAGTGTGGCATTGTCAGGATTCTGATTGCTCTTGATCTCGTTCATGTTGTCAGTGAGGGCGTTCTGCACATCCTTAAGCATTTTACACATCTTGGCATTAGTTGGACCAGGGTATGTTTCAACAACCCCACTCCAAATCAGAAACAACCGCAACACGTGCGAAAAATTCCAAACGAGTTTAAAGAACACTCAAAGGCGTGGTATAAAACAAAATAAGTATATCTTATTCCTTTTACAAGAATAAACGTTGTGCTTACTGACCTGCAGACTAAAGATGAACAGATTAGACAGGCGCATCCTGTCGCATGTGCCAAGCCCGAAGAAGTTCGCGTCGGCGTTGCATCCATTTATAACGAGAGCTGGCGATGGTCTTGTCCAATCATGGTCGATGACGACTGGCGGTGCCTTCTGACTTGTTTTCGCTTCCGGTAGAGGGTAGGGCGTGCCGCGTGGTGCTTATGTTGCAGACAGTCAGAGTAGTAACTGCCGAGTAAAGAATAACGACTTAGACACGCGCACCCTGTCGCATGTTATAATACTGTTTTATTGTTATAAACATACTGTTTGGCAACTACGTTAGAAGAGATTTTTTTGTAAACATGTCATAATATATAACGCACAATGTAATTTTCAAAAAGAAAAACATGCAGAACATTCACTCCTCCAAGTAGAAGATAAAATAAATCAGAAGATTGAGGAAAATTTTTCTACGTTAGTTTTACTTCTCAACTTCATAATTCACATCAATCTTGATGCGTTGAAGTCACGTCTACTATGGAAATAAAACGATAATCACAAGAAAAGTACTTTTTTCGAATGGCCTTGTGATTCGCATATAAACTACTTTTCTTTTTTTTTAGTTTTTATTATTTGACTTAGTTTCTTTGGTCATTGTCCTCACCTCTGTGTAATTGTCTCCTTTCAAGTTGTATTCTTCGCTGTGGATGAAGTAAAATAAAAAAAAGGAGCGTGTTCTTTCTGAAAGCTGTCTTCCGCATGACTTTCTAATTAAGATCAACAACGTAGCAATTGCTCAAGTTATTGGTATATTGTTCTGAACCGGCCGGGTTACGCCCATGACTTTGTTCGCAGCCTGAAACAATAGATTTTATCAAGGGGATTTTTTCAAGCCAGCTTTTTATAAAATCTGGTAGTTCCCTTTTACTATCTAAAATAGGAGTATTCGAAAAGGATCTCCACGGTAACGAACACAATCCCTCCTACCGTCGAAGCACAAAATAAACAGTTCCCAATCATCCACCACATTTCATTGGTATGATTTGTGTAACAAACAATAGTACTCCAGCTATTTAAAACATAGCACTGCATTTTCTAAATGGGAACAGAACGAATGACGCATATCATGCGCAGACTTCACACATACATTGAAAGCAAGTCGTTTCAGCGATTTCCAGAGCGTACGCCTCGATAACCGGTGACACAACAAAAATCCGCGGAATTATCAGTGATCCCGAAGACATTTACGATCTCCTATCACCTGCATTGGCGAGTTTCATTAGTTCACCGGCCGAGTTCGGAATTTTAATATTTTACAGCGAAGGTATATAGCTGCGGGTTCATGCATTTTTGGTATCCTTGTGCGGAAACTAAATTGCATGTAAAAGGTTTTCATTGTAAGGAAATGCATTACAGTGGCCCAATTTTTTAATAATAGCAAGCGAGCGTCGATCGCCCGGAATGCCAGCGCTGTGCTCCGGAAAATGCGGCATCACCGGAGAGATTAAGTTCGTGCGCACAAAGCCCTTTCTGGTGGGAGCGTCGTCTGCTAGGCTATTCCGTTGACCGCGCACAGCCCCTGCTCCATAGCAAAGGAGGCCAGGACGCTTTTTATGGGCCATCGAAAAGGCATAAAAATGTGCGCGCGCCCGCTGGTCAATGAAAACTGTGACTACCCGGCTACATAGTCTACGTGACGACAGCAACAACGCAGATGATCATACAAAACACCAAGCGGAAACCCTGATAATTCGTTTCACTTTTTGTTGTTCCGCAGCCAACGCTACGAGTTATCTTGGCCAGTCCATCGCTAAAAGTGTGTCACGTGGCCTTCCCGTTGGGTACAACTGCACGGGGAAGCACGATGTCACGTGGCAGGGTGAAAGCACTGGATTGGTTTTGATGTTTCGTAGCATTGTCTGCGGTATATATTTTAATGCATCGTTGCATTCAGTTTGCTGCGTCACCGTATTTTTCATTTTTGTTGGGGTTGACAAAACCAAACGCAAACATGAGATGAACAAAAAAACAGTAAATTAAACTCGAGATGACGCGCGGTTTATGTCACGCCTGAGCAGTATCACGCAAGCAAGCACTGTTCAGATCTTTGCTTAAATGCCGACGACCAGTTCGCGCTTTCCACTTTTCCCTCGCTTCCTTCTCTCCCTCCTTCTACCCTGTCCACCGTTGCCTGTTTCCTCCTCCCCTATGGTGAGGAGGATGCTCTGCCTTGCAGAATCTCGAGTCTGGTCGTCGGCCTTTAAAGGCGGTTAGCTATGCCAGCAGATAATGAACAGGGGCCATGTGTGGTCCACGAAATAGCCTAGCAGACGACGCTCGCAACAGAAAGAGCTTTCTGGGGACGCGCTTAATCTCTCCCGTGACGCCGCATTTTTCCGCGGCACAGCGCTGGCCATCGCGGCGGTCGACGCTCGCTTGATATCATTAAAAAATTGGGCCACTGTAGGCCCCGTTACCTTGATATGCATTTTGATAAGGGAAGATGTGGAAACATGTGATAAGGGAGATACATCCGAGAACAATGAGACTTCTCCCGCTCGGGTCGAGGGACGTCATTGCTTTAGATACATAAAAGCAACAGCTTTTATATTGGTAAAGAATGATATGTATAAATATAACTTTAGCAAATAATCTCACTCAAGTTTCAATGGAACCCATTAATGTATAGAGCCCATTATAGTAATTACAAAGCAACCATCACTATCGTTCCAAATGATGTATATATACGGTAAATAAACATTTCGTAAAGTGTTGTTGTGAGTCTTTTGGTGAATCATTTGTAGTGCCGCTCTACAGCTTAATTCGCAAACAACCTTCACAGAGTTGAATGGCTCACATTTTTGTTCCAAAAGCAGCCTTTTTAGAGGCGTCCGCGACAAGGTCCTGGACTCACATAAAATCGAGTTCGCATCTGCTATATTTTGAATGTATAAAATCATTAGAGGTACCCCAAAAGTAGATATTCTTTCACTACTTTTTCTACATCAAGATAATAACTAGATTAAAAATTTCTTGGCAAAGTCTAACTTAAATGTTTTTTGCAATTTTCTAATTTTCTCGCAGGTGACAGGAGTACCGGACGAAATGGTCGGAGAGAATATCTGTGCGTGGATCAAATTGAAACAAGATAAAACCTTGGCCCCAGAAGACATCCAAGCCTTTTGTGAGGGAAAGGTGTGTGAGTACTTAAAGGCATAGAGCGACTACAATTTAACGTGAGCAAATTTACAGTTGTAAATTAAATATGAAAACATTAAAAATTTAAAGTCAATATAAAGATGCAAGCGTCACAGTGGCCACCTCTTATACATTTTATATAGCACAGGTTTAGTAGTTATGTTTTTTATATTATCATTTATTGATGTCCCCAACACCAACATGCCTCCCCAGTGGTGCATTAACACACAGACAAAAAATAAACAGTCGCTCACATAGTTATAGTTTGTTTCAGCGATATGTCATTCTGCAAAACATGGAAGCGTTTTACACATCATATAAAAGGTTTCACGTTATCAAAATTATATTAAATAGACCATAAAAAACATTAGGCTCCGATGTTACTAACTGCATGGGTGCAAGATGAATATTATGTAGGCAGATATTTACACATAACAAAAAAGGGGGGATTGTTTATAATTGCTACAAAATGTTGCAAAAAGGGAGTTACTTTTATGTCGATACTGCACTTGCTGTCTGTTTGCATGAGCCCGGCAGACATTATACTCTTCATCATGTTGACTACGGCACTGGCGAATTCCCAAGTACGACCGCGAGGTTTCCAAGAGCACTTTCTATGCGTGAGTGCTCGCGCACAAATGGAATGCTTTGGACCACTCTCCCGAGTGCATGCCCTTACCGACAATAAAGAACATTTCTGATATATATATAATATATGTAAAAACAATCGGCACGATATAGTAACTAATTACCTATGTAATGTGAAACATAACATTTTAACTCTGATCACACCTAAGCTGGGACTACAGCCAATGCTACAAGCACGAGATAGACCGCGGGGCTTTTTTACCTGCATTTTTAGACCAAGTGCTTAGTCTGCGGAAGAAAGCAGCGACCCCAAGCTCTCGCCATTGTGGCATTGGTTGCTGTCTCAACGTCAATGGAGTATAGTAATGGTTTTATTCGCGATGTTCAATTTCGAGCGTTGCAAGATAATACTAAGAGTGGTTAAACCAATGTATACACAACATTCAACACATCCTTCATAGTTTTTGGTATAATATTTGCTAAAAAGTGGTATTGCAAACCTCACTAGTATATTCGTAAATTAATTTTTGCATTTTGGCCACGTGATGTTGACGCTGGGTTCAGAAAGAGCCCCCAAATTACGGGACGCACAGATTTGGTGGGCAAAAAGTGGAGATGTGGTGATCTCGCGGTTTTCGCATGCGGCCTACAGCTGTCCGACGCTTCATGCCCCATGTGATATTTTCACCATGGTACAATGTGTGATCCGGCGGCCATGCTGCAAAGACA